CCCCCCCCCCCCGCCTCCATTTACATCCTTTCCTCCGGTATTTTTCGTTTATTTCGTTTTTTAATTAATTTAATAATTGCTTTTATTCTTTTTATTATCTTTTTGCGTTTGATTAGTCCTTTTAGCCTCCGTTTTAGCGTTTTTACCCCCCGGGGCCCCTCAGAAAGGTCACCGCGGACAGGGGGTGCGTCTGAACTGGAAACAGAGGAGTTCTCTTAGCCGCGAAAAAGGCCACTTTATTATTCTTTCATTTAATTAAAATTATTCAATTTAATTTAATTTGTTTTATTTTATTTTATAAATTCAAAAATATTCTTTTTTAGAGTAATAAAAGGCACGACTCCACACTGGGACACGGAGGTGACCCTGCTGTGCTGCTGCTGCTGCTGCTGCTGTTGCTTTACTTATCTTTTTGTCAAATGTCTAACTTATTTGAACTAAAATAAAGTTCCTCAAAATGAAATAACTTTTAATTAATATCCTCTAAATAAAACATTTTCCTTTTTTGATGGACTCCATTTGTTATTACTTTTCTTTTTGTCTTTGTGAGACAGATATATTCATTTGTAAAGAATTCAAATAAATAAACCCTAAACCCTTAACCTTAAATCCCGAACCCTAAACCCTAAGCGTTTGAACGAATATGTTATGTGTATACCCAGGGCCTAAACCCTAAACCCTAAACCTTTAACCCTAAACCCAAAACCCTAAACCCTGAAAATGAAGAGCTGCACTAAATCCCTGCGTATGCAGTGTTTTATCTTTGTGGTGTACGTACACCTGAATGATTCGCGCTTCTGCCTCACACGAATTTGAAAGTTTAATTTGAATTTAAATTCTTTTAAATTTCTTCTATTTCTTGTATTCCTTTTCATTTTTGAAGATAAGGAAAGGAAATAAAAAAAATAAAAAAACATAAAATGGAAACAATGAAAAGAAGCCAACAATTGATTTGGAATTGCCAAAAGTTTCTAAAGAATAAACAAATTTGATTAATTAAATGCCACTTAAATACAAATGGCCATTTAAATATAAATGGCCACTTAAATATGAATGGCATTTAACTAAAAGTTTCTTCTCTTTCGGGTGTACGTACAGACACCGGGAAAGAGAGCAGCAGCGAAATTCGCCCTTTCGCTTCTTTCCAGAGAGCCAAACGAGCCAAAAGGGCGAAATAAAAGACAAAAAGAACAAAAGAACAAAAGAACAAAAGGATAAAATGACAAAAGGGAACTCGTAAATGAAACTTGCACAAGTCCCGCTGCGCAGGCGTGGGGTGTACGTACACCTCAGCCGCCGGGCGGCCACACGGTGCAGATTTGAAGAGCGGGAGAAGCCAAATGCATTAAAAGAAGCGCATTTGAGATTAAAAGGTACTTTCTGAGTGTTAAATAGGCAAAAGGGGAGAACCAGAAGGGAAAAGGGAAAAGAAACAGCAAATGGAGTTCTTTCGACGCGGCGAGCTCTAGACGCAGCCGCGAGTTCTGGCTGCTGGTGCTTCTTGTTCTTCCGCTTTTTCGGATTTATTTTCGGATTTGTTTTCGGATTTATTTTCGGATTTATTTTCGGATTTGTTTTCCAATTTGCTGTCCGCTTTCTTCGCCGCTTCTTTCTGTCTCTTTAGCTTCCTCAAGATCACCGACTTGTTCTTGCGCTCTGCTGCTGCTGCTGCTGCTGCTGCTGCTGCTGCTGCTTCGGCTGCGCACACGGCGTAGCCCGCGCTCACGCGCCCGTTCGTCCGGAGTTTATCTGCAGTGCAAAAACGCATTTAAGCCAAATGAATAAAGCAAAGCAAAGCAAAGCAAAGCAAAGCAAAGCAAAGCAAAGCAAAGCAAAACAAAAGAAAAGAAAGCAAAGCAAAACAAAAGAAAAGAAAGCAAAGCAAAAGAAAGCAAAAGAAAGCAAAGCCAAAAAAAAGAAAGCAAAAGAAAGCAAAACAAAAGAAAAGAAAGCAAAGCAAAGCAAAGCAAAAGAAAGCAAAGCAAAAGAAAGCAAAGCAAAGCAAAGCAAAGAAAGGAAATAGGGCCGGTTGGAGGGCGCGGGAAACGCGAAAAAGGGTTTGGGCCTCGCCTCGAATGCTCTTGGGCTTGTCGGCGGTCTCGAAAAGAATGTCCTTGAGCTCCTGGACCCTCATGGGCCGGACGGAGAGCAGCATGGCAGCGACGCCAGCCACGACGGGAGCGGCCATGGAAGTGCCGGAGAGAGACTTGAAAGTGTTCGGCGGAAAAGAAGAAACAATGAAAACCCCCGGAGCAGCGAGGTGCACGGCGTTTTTGCCGAAGTTGCTGAACGCCGCGAGCTTGTCCTGGTCGTCCGTCGCAGCCACGGAGACGACGTTGTCGACTTTGTAGGCGCCGGGGTACTCGGGGCGGAGGTCGGCGTTGCTGCTGCTGTTGCCAGCAGCAGCAACGAAGAGCTGCTGCGCTGCGCTCGCGCGCTTAATGGCCTGCAGCAGCCCGCTGGAGACGTCGGGGCCCCCCCACGAGTTGTTCGTCAGGTGGAAGTCCATTTCCACGGCATAGTTGAGGGCCTC